ATTTTGCCTAAACAGAATAATGCAATATAATATCTTTTTAGAAAAAATGATTTTAGTTTTGTTATAAAAAGTTACTAATATACCAGAAAAAAAGAGAAATGCTATTTCGCCGAATGTTCGCCCTATTAAAATTAATCCTTCTATCAATTTAATTCTGTTCATATAACCAGTTGCAATAGCGAGATCTTCTAAATACCTATAAGTCAAGTTACACATTGATAACTAATTTTATTTTAATTCTTTTTATAAAATGACAGATAAACTAATATTATACACATATATTGCCACTCTGATAGAGATGAAAGTTTACCAAAGCAAATAGATAAGCTCGATGGCATGAAGAATACCGGCAAATGCAACAAAACACAAAAATATAACAATAGATTTAGATTTTAAAAAGATAAACACATTTTTCAATATGGTTGTCGATCCTTTTTTAAGTTGCATCTGTAACAAAAATTTATGGTAACATGAGGACATAAAAACAAAGCCATATGCATTTATTGCTTTAGTTTATTTTTAAATTTGTAATGCATAAGACACAATCTCTCACTTTCAATTTTATACAGCAGATCAAATCGGCACTAAGAAATACAAGCACGAGAATAAGCATTGGGGTGTAATTTTGATAAATTCCATCGTGCGACCATAAGTCCATCACATATCCGGATAAACATGCTGCAACACCGTAACCTATTGTGGCCCATAGTCGCTGTTTGCCAAATTTTGACTGTTCACCTTGGCCTGAGAAAACAAACTTTAATTTAGGAGTTAGTAATTCTCTCTTGGCATAATATTATTGTATAAATTTAATTAACGTATATAATATTATTATATAAATTCAATCAATATATTATTATATAATATTATTATATAAAAATCTATATAAAACTATTTATTATAATAATTTATTTTATATGGTTAAAATTTTATATTTCGGCAATTAACTCAAAAATTTTTGTTTATAAAGTTACACACCTAGTATATGAAAACAAACTGCATCGTTTATGCTCAAGCAAGTCATGGTACTAGTCTTGGCAAGAGACCACAAGAAGACAAAACTCCAAAAGGTGTTAGATGTATATACACACTGATCTTCGAAATTATCACAAGTAACGTTACAATAATTATTTGTTACATTTTTTTGGCTCAACGACGTCTCAGTGACATTTAATAAGCATGCAGTATCTGGTGAGATAATTGCTCTCTGTTGGTCTGGGTAAAAAGACAATCCCATGGAAAAATTC